CCCCCCTTTTCCCCCTTTTCTTATTTTATTTTTTAAATTTAAATCTCTCTTATCCTTTCCAAGCGTAATGAGCACGAGCCGTCTTTTTAACGCAGTGCAGCTCTCACAGCCGCTGCCTTGTGAAACGCCGCTCAAACATCCTTAAAAAGTGGTGTTTTTTTTGAGAACTTTGCAATAACAAAGTGCTCCGTGCGGGCTGAAGAATGCCAGGGGAACAAAAGCCACATCAACAGCAGAGCCGGGACCAGGGAATACTAAATAGTTGACAGGAATTTTAATATAAAAACCCCCCTCTCTCTCTCTCTCTCTCTCTTCCTTGTCAGTGAGGGTTTTCAGGAAGCCCTCTGTGCTTATCGTAAAGCGGCATACAGCCCAGACAGGGGCTGGGGAGGTGAAAGGTGGCTTCCTGCCATTCTTCTCTGGAGCTGGGTTCCCATGGGCGGTCATGCCAGTTTGACTCTGGTTTGTTCCACGCTCCTGGGGTGATAACGAGGAGATCGGGATTACGGCTGCTTCCAGGGGAACTGGGTTTTCATGGGCTAACGGCGAGTTTAGGGGTTTCCAACCATGAACCGTTTCAATGGACTCTGCAAGGTGTGCTCGGAGAGGAGATACAGACAGGTCTGTATGTCCTGTGGGGGGGAAAAACACCCAACAAACCCTGTGTGGCAGCATGAGTGCGTGTGTTGCTGCGAGTCTTGGTTGAGTTTTTGAGTGTCTATGGGTTTTTGGACCATTTCTGGGCTGTGTGTGTGCTGTTTCCAAGGTGCTGATTTATCATTTGTACATGATAATATGGGGAATATAAGGAAAGCATCTTCAGGTGGGTGTCTCTGGCTGATCTCTGCCCTTTGCTGCCGTGTGTAAACGGGGATTTATTGTTTTGAGGGTAGCGTGCTGACGATGAAAGCTCTAAGCTGCAAGGTGGTGTCTCAATTTACCCCTCATGAGAGGAGACACAGGCACAGCAGGTAACCAGGTCTCTGCCAGGCTGCTGCTGTTGTCTCTTCTCAACATTATTTTGATGTGAATATATTTGGGAATTGCTGTGCTCTGTAAAAGCCAGTGCAGGTTCTCTTCGACTCTGCTGGGTACTGGTTTTGCTTGTGCAGGTCCCAGTCTCCTGCACAGTTTTGAACACAGTTTTCCACCCAGGGTTTGAGTTGGGGCTCCCAGCTCACCATCAGCTTTTCTCTGCACTCCTTTGCTGATCTTTCACATCATGCTAAAGCTGCAGTGAGGGACAGGGTATATTGGGAATTGCACAAAGAACCAGCTTATCTGAAAATGCTCACTTCTTACCAGGGCTACAGCGACTGCCTCACGCAGGAACGCTGCTCTGCCTTGTATTAATGACAACTGACAGTGATTTGTGTCTCAGACCTCAGTTTTCTGTTTTGCCATTTTTTCTTCTGCATAAAATCACATTATTTGTCTTGTAAGAACAAGAGGGGGCTGAAGGAATCCCTAGAAAGCCACCAGAATTCAAGAACATACTTAAGGAAAAACTTCTTTGCTGTGAGGGTGCTGGAGCCCTGGGACAGGCTGCCCAGAGAGGGTGTGGAGTCTCCTTCTCTGGAGAGATTCAAACCCACCTGGACACCATTGTGTGCAACCTGCTGGAGATGGACCTGCTTTGGCAGAGGAGTTGGACTGGATGATCTCCAGAGCTCCCTTCCAACCCCACCATTCTGTGATTGTGATTTTTTGACAAAGTTCGGGGTACCACGAGCCTCTGTGGTGCTGGAATCTCTCACCACCTGGCCACCCACCTTCCAGCTTGTGGCAGATGTTCAAAGTTCTGTGTACAGCGGCAAAAATGGACCAGCTCCCTGTAATGGCCACGGTGGTGGGAGCTGAGGAAAGTGAAGCATCAGCACTGAGAAGCTGCTGTTTAATGGCACAGGGAAGGTGTCTCTGGTGGTGGACAAGACCCAGCCAGCTCAAGGAGAAGGAGTGGGAGACCTCTTGGCATGGGGGGAAGCTTTGGGCTGGAAAGTGGTTGTGGAGTCTCCGTGGTAGGAGAGATGCTGGGCTGGCTCCTGAGGTGCCGATGGGTAACACTTGTGCAGGACTCAGCTCCCCTGAGTTTTCTATTTGAGATGTGAGGTTGGCTCAAGGTGCAGAGCCACAAGCAGCCTCCTTCCCTGTTTGAGGATCCAGCAAACACTGAGTGTAGTGGGACTGGACCTACTTTTTGATCCTGTCAGGGAAAGACAGTTTCTCTTTTGAAGGCTGATTTTATGCTGAGCAATCAAACGGGGACAAGGTGCAGAGAAATGGAAGCTCGCTGCGTTTGCCCTCCTGTGGTAAAGGAGCCAGGAACCAGTTCCCCTCCTTGGCAGCTTCTGCTGAATTCCTCATCTTCTCTCTGTCTGTTTGTTCTCCAAATAATACAGGTCAAATGTTGGATTTTTTTTTTCTTTTCTCTGTCAGTAAAACAAGGATCTTGATAAATGTCTTGGGGGATAATCAGGTATTTACAGGAACTGTCATGCTGAGCTGCTGCTGGAAGCCAACATCAAAAAATAAATATAACTTTATTAATAAGCTCAATGCTTCTTGAATCAGGAGGAGAAATGAGCCTAAATCAACACAGCATCCATCCTCTTCAAACTCAGTGACAGAAAACATACTCACCCCAGCTAATGGGGTGATAGATACGGAGCCTGCTCCAGCACAGCTCCTTGCAGACAGGAGTGCCCCGATCCTGGCCGCTCCCCCTGGAGCAGGGGAGTGCTGCTATTTCTGTATTACCCAACTGGAAATGAAATGTTTAAGTGACTTGCTTAGAGAAGTCAGTGTCAGAGCCAGTTAGAAGCTGTGTTAGAAGTCAGTGTCAGAGCCAGACTGCCAGGTTTTCCTTTCTCATGGCTTATCAGACCTTTTCTTACACTTGCAAGAATCGTGAGTGGAGACTTGTGTGCGCTCAGTAAACACCCATTTGACACCATTCCTCTCTCTTGATCCTCGACTGCATTTTGTGTTACTTTTTAGCATCCTTTCCACCTCCCTTTGGCTGCAGCAGGTGAGAAGCCTGTTCTCCATGGGGTTCCCAGAGTGACAATGTTCATCGTGACAGTTCCTTTGGGCTCTGTGAATGCTCCTAGAAGATGCCACGTGTCTGCCTCTCCAAAGGCTGTGGGGCAGCACCTGGGTGAAAGGGGGGGATGCTCGCTGATCACATGCAGTGGCTGCTTTCCCAATTAACCAACAACTCCGGTATCTCTCTTCAGATTACCATCCCTCGAGGAAGTGATGGGTTTGGCTTCACAATCTGCTGTGACTCCCCAGTCCGTGTGCAGGCAGTGGACTCCGGTAAGAATCACAGAATCACAGAATGTTGGGGATTGGAAGGGACCTGGAAAGATCATCCAGTCCAATCCCCCTGCCAGAGCAGGAACCTCAATGAGATCACACAGGAAGGTGTCCAGGCGGGTTTTGAATGTCTCCAGAGAAGGAGACTCCACACCCTCCCTGGGCAGCCTGTCCCAGGGCTCTGTCACCCTCACTGGAAAGAAGTTCATTCTCAAGTTTAAGGGGAACCTCCTGTGTTCCAGCTCACACCCATTGCCCCTTGTCCTACCATTGGGCATTACTGAGAAGAGCCTGGCTCCATCCTGACATTTGCCCTTAGCATAAGAGATCAGACTGTTTTTATCCCTCTTGAAAATCCATTGACTCTGCTTCCCAGAGCCTGTTGTGATTCAGAAGCTTCCATGCTTTGCAGGACTCTTGGTTACCTCCAAGAAACTTCACTTAATGAATTCTCTGTTGCCTCTACTGAGGTCAGAGGCCACTGGTTTAGTGCTGTGTCACTATTTTGTCAGTGTGCTGCAGTAATTTTCAGAGATTTTGTTCCCTTCCCTCTCCAATCTGAGAGCTGTTTGGGAGACCTGTGGAAAGCATCTGGGGCGGGGGGCAGATGTCAGACAGGGGCACAGAGAGGAGCAGGATCGTGGGAGCCCTGGTTGCCTGAGTATGTCCTCTTGGTGTGGACCTGTGGGATGGACTTGGTGTCTCTGTTGTACCCTGGTGCTCCCCACTGCATGCCAGGAAACATGGTAATTTCATGCAATAGCTCTGAGAGAGTATGTATGACTTTGTCCCAGGTGCTGTGTGCGCACACACACCCGCATGTTGGAAGGTGAAGCTCCAGGCTAGCTGACCCCACTTCATTTTCAGGTGTGGACGTTAGCGGAAACAGTTTGGAGGAGTGAGTGGTGCAAGCTGTGCTATTTGGGTGTGCACTATCCCCAGGGTTTCTCCTCCTCCCTGTATTCTTAGCTCTGTGTCCTGCAGGAGGGTGGCATTTGTCTCTTCTCTCTGTAGGTGGCCCAGCAGAAAAGGCTGGTCTGCAGCAGCTCGACACGGTGCTGCAGCTGAATGAGCAGCCTGTGGAGCACTGGAAATGTGTGGATCTGGCACATGAAATCCGGTGAGTATTCACCCAAAGCATCAGTGCAGGGCTGTGGGAGAGATGGTTTGAGGGAGCCTAGGGCAAGGGAGCAGGAGTTTTGAGTGGCTACGGGAAGGAGAAGGCTTTGAGGGATGCAGGAGACTGGGAAGGGACTCTGTGATGGAAGAAGAAAGGATGAAGGATGGGACAGAGGCGTTAGAAGCAGGAAGGACTGCAGGGCTCGTGGTTGTTTGAATGATGTGGGGTGCTTCACTCCCTGCTCTCCCATCTCTGACTTGCCTCATGTTGTCCCTTTCAGGAACTGTCCCACTGAGATCATACTACTGGTCTGGAGGCTGGTCCCACAGGTCAAGTCAGGACACGAAGGCATGATCCGTAGATCATCCTGCAAGTCAGCCTACGACCTCCAGTCACCTCCCAACAAGCGGGAAAAGAACAGCACTGTTCCTCCACGGCCCGAGCAGCGCCGGAGCTGCCACATCCTGTATGATGGGAGCGATGGGCTGGTGCTGAACGGCTGGGAGAGGTACACGGAGATCGGCAAGTGCAGCCAGAACACCATGCCACCCCTGTCCCGGGTCCCCTCCGCTGCAGACCAGAACTACATCATCTTAGCACCTTTGAACCCAGGGAGCCAGGTAGGGCTGTTTTCCTGCCCTGTGCTCACCTTACTGCACCTGGCTGTTGGCCGTGCTTTCTGGGTCTTCTCCTGGCCTGTGCTTCAACCTTATCCAGCATCATCTCTAAATGTTTTCCCAATGTATGTGCCGTGTTTCCAAGCCAGATCTGTGTCCCTTGGGGGACCTTTTGCTATTTTTCTAAAGCACTTACCACTAGGTCTGTAGAGCTGGGGTGAATGACCTGGTGCCTCCTCCTTGGGCTCACTCAAGGGGTAAGGATATGGGAAGTGTTTCCACTGTGTAGATCACAGTGCAAGTCACTACTCTCGTGTTCTGTAGGTAATAGAGGAAGACTTTTCACCTCTCTGGAGTGCTTTGGCTTTGCTGGGTTTGGCACATTTAAATTTGCAGTTGTTTATTGTAAAGTCTATCTCAAGCCTACTTCAGGTGACTGTGTCCTTTCTGGGTTGTCTCTTACAGCTGCTGAGGCCTGTCTATCAAGAGAACAATGCTACTGTGGGTAAGTTGCTGATGTGCTGAAAAACACTGCTCAGGGCACCTAGCAGAGCTAAACATGGTCTTCCTAGAACTCTCAAATCCTTACCCTAACCCTGCAATGGGAGTCCCTCACATTTTGAGGACAGTGGCAGAAGCCTGGGGCTTTTGGGTAGGATCATCTTCCCACTCTGAGTCAAACATAAAAGCAAGAACCTTACCTCCAAGCCCAGAGGAGACACAGCTGCTAATGTCACTGCAGCCTCATGGTGAGAAGGTCTCTGGGAGCTGACAGAGCGGCTCTGGTGGCAGGGACTTTCCATCAGGGGCAGGATGGAAACACAAAGTGTGAAAGTGCTGAGCATTGTTGTTGTGGTGGTGCCCCAGATGTGTCTGTGGCCTTGTCCGTGATGTATTTCCCTTCTCATGCTTGGTGCTTTGCTTTGGGGGGTGCTAACACTGTGGCCTCTGCTTTGAGGTTTGTTTTATTACTAAGGATGTGACTCAGATGTGTGCAAACAGTAGTGGGGATTGATGTGCCAGATTTGGGGAATACTCATGTCCTGGGCTGCTGCAAGGTCTCTGGTAGTCTCGGGACCAGCTCTTCTCAAAAACTCTTTCATTCATAAACTCATTTTCTACAACAGATGTGCTGGCTCTTCCTGGAGAACCAGGTATGGTTGGGCTTGTGGAAAGAGTGGGATGAGGTGTGTGGCAGGGCTGGGGGCTACAGGATCCAGGTCCATACAGGAACACCTCATTGATTTGGGAGCTTTGGGAGGCTGTGCTTGCACCCTGGTCTGTTAGGATGCCCTTAGGATGAGCTGTGTGTCTGTAGCAGAGCTGACCTCCTGGGCATGATCTTACAGGAGTGTCTTTAACTCAGCAATCCCCCCCTGGTGTGGGCACAGCTAGAAAATGTTATGCTGCCTGTAAAGGTGAAGCAGCATCCATAGAAGACAAAGTGTGGGGCTGGCAAAGCTGTGGTGGGGATGCCAGGGAGCAGGAGGGAGCAGTGTGGGTCCAAGGCCCCTTGTGCCTTGGATGCTCCCAGCCCGGGAACTCTGCAGCCAGAAGAATATTTTGCAGCTCAGCTGCAAGGGATGTTTTGTACCGTGGAAAACTGCAACTCTTTCCTGCTGTTTGCAGATCCTGTGAAAAGATGAGCTGGACCATGGAGACTTGTTCTGAATTGAAAAGACTCAGGCTTCTTCCCATAACAATTTTTAGTGATTGTTTTCACTTTATTTAACATTAAATCTTCAGAGGGAGGAATGCAGTAGTTAACCTGAGCAGTGATGAAGCTCAGTGATGCAGAGCTGGCTACCAGTCACACAGTGACAGGAGCTCACGCTTCAGGCAGGCTGGATGCATCTCTCTGCCAGTGTGCAAAAACCAGCACTTGTGCAGGTGATGGATTCCTCGGATAAAATGAGGTGATTTTAGGGAGAAGAGGAAAAGCAGATCCTGAGCAGCCCAGACAGATTGGATCTGTCCTGCGCTGAGCTGTCTCTTGCGTTTTGATTTTATCTGGCAGTGCAACCATGACAAAGGGAAAAGAGAAAATGTCAGGGTTATTGCATTTAGGGGTAGAAATAAGCTTTTAGGGCACGAGGGCCACCCCCCTGCCGAGGCAGGCTGTTAAAGCAGGCAGTAAACAGCAGGTCTGGATTGTTAACAGAGCAGGGGCTGGTCTCTGCTGGCGTTTATCTGAAAGTAAACGCGCTATTTCCTAATACTTAATGGAATATGTAATGTTGGGTAGGTTTGTATATTTGCTTTGGACGAGACCTTATCTCCTCTGAGCCATGTTCAGAAGTGTTTTGGCTTGTTTCTGCTTGGGAAGGTTGTTGGTATCTGCTACCGTGCAAAGGCAGAAGCCAATGGGTTGAAAGCTGCTGTGGTGGTCTGGGGCTGGGGGGGTCTCTGGTGGGACACTCCTCTAGCAGGGGCTGCAGGGGGGTTTGCTCATAAATCATAGAATCGTAGAATGGGTTGGGTTGGAAGGGACTTTAAAGATCATCCAGTTCCAACTCCCCTGCCAGCAGCATATTCCTAAGGCATCGCTGTGGAGGAGGATCCTGGGCTAATGCTGCAGTTTCTCACCTGGATATGATAAATCATAGAATCCCAGAATCCCAGACTGGTTTGGGTTGGAAGGGACCTTAAAGCTCATCCAGTCCCAACCCCCCTGCCAGCAGCAGGGACACCTTCCACTAGACCAGGTTGCTCAAAGCCTCATCCAACCTGTCCTTCAACACTTCCAGGGAGGGGGGAAGATGTCTGCCTGCTGGACCCGAGCTGGTTTGGTTCATCAGCTTCAGGGGTGAGGGAGCAAATACTTCAGTTTTTCAATGTGGTTTTTTTTTTTGAATAATTCATTAATTTTTGGTTAGAGACATATTCAGTTCCTGTTGGAGTTGTTGCCTGCAAGTTTTAGGACAGAGCACAGTTTTCTGGTGCCCAGTGGGACATGCTCTGTGGTTAAGGACTCTTGGGGTACATGAACCTGTCTCACCTTCTGTCCCAGCGTGGTGAGTCCTGCTGCTGCTGTGATGGGAGTTTGTTTATGGCAGGAGAGATGTGCACCATGGGCCTGGGGACATAATGGGTGGCCAAAACTGTATGCTGGGGTCACTGGGGAACACTGAGGCCCTTGAACCTGATGGATTAGTGTCATTAATGAGAAATACTTCCCAGTTGGCAGCTGTGCTCTCCCAGCACACCTGGGAGCAGGGCAGCCCAGTGGGCAGCAGCTCAGCAGCTTCTTTCTGGTTCTGGTCCTGTGGGTTGTTCTCATCCTGGCTCCACACGATGGCTCTGGGGAGGAGGATGCACAAAGCTGCCTCCAGTAGATCACCCACCAAACCATCTAGTTGCTCACAGCCAGTTGTGTGCACAGGCTCCCAGCAGCCTGTGATGCTCTCACCTCATTGTGCTGGTGCTGAGAAAATGGGAATTTCTATCCAGAAATGCTCTCAGAGCACCCCACATCCTGCGCCTGCGAGACAAAACGCTGGTGGGAGCTTGCTGGATGTATTCAAAGACATTCCACTGGGCTGTGGGGAAAGGGCTGAGAAATTCTATATGGCAACAATTGCCTGGCAATAGGGGAAGGAATGACTCACCCACGCGGCAGCCAGCAGGGAACAATGCTAACTTCTTGATAATTATCAATAATCATAGAATCATAGAATGGTTTGGGTTGGAAGGTACCTTAAAGATCATTCAGTTCCAACCCCCCTGCCATCAGCAGGGACACCTTCCACTAGACCAGGTT